AGCACGTGCAGCTGCCGCGCGCCGCCCTCGCGCTCCTTGCACGGCAGCGACACCAGGTTTATATTCGTCGCCAGCACCACTAACAAACATAGATAACATTATATTAATCCGCTAAACTGGGTTAGGTTGTGTTTTACACAATAGGCAATATGCATATGACGCCAAATTGTACCAAACTTTTTTAAGTATACTTTATTGCTATAAAAACAGTCCTTCAAAGACTTTTTTAAATATAATGTGATTAAGTGGCAAAATTTAATCATTAAAAAGTGTCTTTTTTCAAATTCCCTCGCTAAGTTCTAAAACGCACACTATTGGTCGAAGCAAGTGGCTTATCTAATATGGCCTCGCTGCGTTGACAATACACAGTTCATTTACGTTAGTTTATATAGAAATACACTCTTGAAGTATTTGACTGTAAACACGATATCAAAACCAACTTTAAAATAAAAAATTAATGAATAGAATTATTAATTACCACTTATTTGTACCAGGAATAATAAAAATTAATCGATTTTTGACTTTTCGACCTTGAGAAACTTTGTTGTGTTTTACGTCGAAGTGACATTTGAGCGTATGTTATGAATGGAATAGACGATCGACGTCAATCGTCTCATGACAACTCCGGTCGCGTTTTAGTCGCTCGAAAATGATCGTAATTTTATTTTATTATTTTTAGCTCAATGGTTGAACATTTTCGCGTCAATTTTTTTGTGGTTATTTTATAAGAAGTAGAATCGTTTAACAAAGGAAAAAAAATTTTCATGTTCCCTATTGTAGGCCTAATCTGTGTCCATGACGAACACCGAGCATTAGTAAGGCGGCCATCTTGTGAAACTGTCAGTCCGATTTGAGTCAAGATGGGGTGCGCACTGCTCCACGTGCTCGGTGGACGTCAATTCAATATCTTAGGCAGCATCGATCATAATAATAGAATAACAGCCCACAACAAATTAAAAGTTTCACTGTACAGTGCATCTATATTTTATATAAGTAAACTTACCAAACACAACAACAGTAGCCCACATTACAGACATAATGAGTGATTTAGGTTGCACTAAGTCTTGTCTCGCGGGGCCCGCCTTGCCCTCCAGCGGATGGTTGTATGTCGCCACTTCAGCGTGCGCGTGTGCACCGCCCAACATGTTGGTCAACAAGTTGAGAGCGATAGGTGCGGCGTGACGTACTCGTGTCGTGTACAACACCTGGTAAGAAACATATGTTAATACGTATTCCCATTTTATAGTTATTATAACGTCATATATCATTAATTAAAATGTTCTTACAACAGCATCAGTGTCATTGATTTCTATTCCCGCGATGTATTTATTGTACTCCATAATATCTTCCTTGCCGTACTGAATGAGAGCTAAAAGAAAAAAATATAAACATGTTATAACATTTAACAGAAATATACATTCTTATTTCACTACTATTGATGATCAAAAATCTAAATTATAAATTTAATTATAGGCCGCTAGATGGCGCTATTTTGAAATTCTTACTTCACACTTCTCTATTTCTTTCTATTTTGTGCCTACCAAATCACGAGGTTCTATCGTTAAACATGTTTAGGTGTAGCCAACAAAAGTAAAAAATGGTGTTTTGCTTCTATTTAAAACTAGCTGTTACTCACACATTCAAAATATGTCACAAAATATAACCTATGTTACTCGCTGATAACTTAGCTTTGTAATGGTGAAAAAAATTATAAAACCATCCCAGTAGTTATTGAGTTAATTCAATATATAAAACAATCCGAAAACACAAATCTTTCCCCTTTATAATATTAGTACAGAGACTTACAATCAACAACATCAGATGTGGGTTGAAAGGTAACATCAGTGTATTTGTCGGTGAGCGTGCGCAGTGCTGTGGGGGTGCTGGTATTGAGAGAGTAGAGTATTCGCGGCTCCGGCATATCGTACAGAGGGAGATGGAGCCGTGCGCGCTCGCTGCCCCCCGCCGGCTCCACCTCCACCGACACGTACGTGAACAGTACCAGTGTCACTATCGGCATTACCACTTGCTGGAAAAAAATATTACTATTTACACCTGTTTTTTTCGACTGGCCATTTAAATTCGACGATAGAGAGAAGTAACTGTCGATAGACATCCGCAATTACAGATGCCTGAATCTACAGAGGAAACGCACATAGTTCGGATATTTCCCCTTCCTATGTGCCTCCACCGTACAATCCATATTCCTTTCCAATCCATACATCCATCTTACTACTTATTTATATTATAAATCTGAAAGTTTGGATTGACGGATGGATGTTTATATGTAATTTGCCACAGATATAGAAAATCTGGAACAATACATTTTTTAAATTCTGCACGAACACAGCTTAAAGTTTTAATTCTAGTAAATAATTAACTGATTCTGTTTTTTTATTTTATTTTTTATATAACAGGAAAACTAAACATTAGTTTTCGTAAATGAACAGTAAAAATGGAAAAATTTATAGTAATAATTGTGCTCACCAGTATCAATATGGAGAGTTTCTTAGACATCATGTAGTTGTACTGGCGTTTAAGGAGCACAAACAGCTGCCGCAGCCACAGCGCGGCGCCGCCGGCCAGCACCTGCCGCGTCTCTGATAACGTGCAAATCATATTATCACTAGCTGTTGCTCGCTACTTCGTCTGCGTTTAAAAAAACATTTGTTACTCACTGATGTAGCTTGTCAATGGTAAAAGAATTATTATAATTGAATAGGTAGTTTTTGAGTTATTTCAATGCAAAAAAATCTTTCCTCTTTATAATATTTTTATTTCTTATTTTCAAATTCTTTCACCGTTGAAAAACAGCGTTGTTTGTGAGTAAAATAGTCTAAGTTTCTTTATTATTTTTCATATGCTATAAACTAAGCGACCAGTGGTTACACATAAATCCTGTGGGTTTCTGTACCACTTACAGCGTCTCTTATTGTACTTTTAAATTTATGCTTTTGTCTAATAAATAAAAAAAAAATATTAGCATAGAATTTTTGCACAAATATCACGATAGATGTAAAAACTGAGCTACTAGAAGATTTGCGAAACACTATATTAGTCTTTCTTAAAGTAATTTAACGCCCTCTTGTGGGCGGTGGAGGAATTAGGGAAGATGCCTTAAAAATGATAAGATTCCGTTTATTATTGTTAATTTTAAATATAAGATAATCTATTGTGTGTGTCTGTACTAGCATTGACATTTCATTGTTATAGATTTATACTGTAAAGTGCTTTTTCCATGCTGTATACAAAAGTAAACTAACTCTGAAATTTGGTTTTAAACGATTTTACGTAAATTAAAAATTAAAGTTGTAACAGACAATATTGTATGTATTTGAATTTAAAAACTCACCAAGAGCCGCAGTATCCACGGTGTCTTCAGTAAAAGTGGTTTCCACGTCGCTGCATAATCTACAAGGAAAGAAAGAGCTTGTTTTTTTATTTAATAAAAAGGGGAAAACGAGCGGCGGGAACCGAGGTAACCAATTACGGCCATGGACATCCGCACCACCAGAGCAACTACAAATGCCTTGCCTTTTTACTCTCTAAAGGATGGATAGGCTCGTAACTCTTTTATGTCATACTAGCTTTCGCCTGCGAATCCGTCCGCGTAGCATTAAAAAAACAAAATCAAGTAGCCTATGTGTTCTTCCAGACTATCCCCTACATGTATGCCAAATTTCCTTAAGATCCGTCCAGCAGTTTAGGCTACAAACTCTAACAAACATCCATCCATCCATCTAAGCTTTCAAATTTATAATATTAGTATGAAGTATGATTATTTTTCATATTTTTACTGCAGAATATAATAAAATATTGTACAACTCACTTATTTATTTGTTTATAAGGTACACCAATTGCATGTTCAAAATTCACAACCAAATTAAGTATATTTTAGACCAAAGAAAAACAAAAAAGAAGCAGAAGAACACACAGATGATAGGGGCATACACAGCACTTATAATTTTTTTTTAAAAAAACATACGTTAAATCAGATAATCCACACACACATATTAAAGAAAAAATGAAGATAAAACAATAAAAGAATAAAAGAAAATTTAAACTCACTTCAAAAATACCTCCTCTAAGGTAGAAATGCCGATGCCAATCGAGTCTATCGCCAGTTCCGATCTCTTGGTCTCCAGCATGGAGAAGAGTTGGGGGAACCTGGAGGTATCTTTTGCCGGCAGGTTGTAGGTGATGGAGTTGAGGCTCTGCTCCCGCATGGAGGCATCAGCGACCACACTCTGCACTGTGCTGGTGATGGCCGGTTCCTTCGGTATTCCGATCGTGGTGAACGATAGACGATATCCAGTACCTGTGTAAAATATATTTAATAAATTGCATAAAACTAGCTGTCGCATGTGACTGTCTGCGCGGAATTAAAATTCTTAAGCTACATTTATGCCAAATTTCAGAAACATCAGTTTAGTTCTGGAGATATGTAGTAACACGCATGCAAACTTTCGTATCTTCCTTTTTACTATTATAAATGCGATTATTTAGATGGATTTAAATCTTGTTAAAAAGGCCAAATTTGAAAAAAAATGAAAGGAATTAGTAAAGCGTGGCCACAGTATACACAATGTTTCAGTATTAACTGTAGGAATATATAATATAAGGACTAACATTATAAATGCGAAAGTTTAGATGGATGGATGGATGCATGTTAGAGTTTGTAGCTTAAACGGCTGAACGGATTTCGATGAAATTTGGTATAGATGTAGAGGATAGTCTGGAACACATAGGCTACTCGCTTCTGTTTTTTTTATACCGCACGGACAAAGTCGCGTGCGAGAGTTTGTTTATAATTTAAATACGGTTTCTGCATGTTTGTTTGTTTACCAAGTGCCCGTTTGAGGTGCATAGTGGTGGCATGGCAGCGCAGCTTGCCGAGGTGCAGCGCGGCCACGCGGTCGCCCAGCGCGTCCGCCTCCTCCATGAAGTGCGTCGTCAGCAGCACCGTGCGAGACCCTCGCAGCGACTGGAATCACAACATTACACTGCTCACACGATTATACGATAGCACCATGAATTAAAAAAACATACAGACGAATTGAGTACCTCCTTCTTTTGGGAAGTCGGTTATAAATAGTTAAAAACAAAGGAATAAAGCAGCATGAAAAAAAAAAAAACACACGCACCAAGAGGCTACTTCCTATCTATGACCCTGGCTCCTAAAAACGTCATCTAACTGGTAATCGGCCTCGCACTGTTTCTCTTTAAAAAGTGTGTCTTTTTAAAAAGAAAAGAATTTATTACCGTGCATAATTTATTGTTACAATAAATAAAGATGGCGATGGTCTCCGAAACCATATTGCTACCGCGACTTATTTTAAAATACTATTAAAAATGTAAACTAAAATTAAACTAAAGGAAGGAAAGTTACAAAAACTTTTTGTTGTTTACATAATAACCTTGCTTCCTTAATGTTGGCAGCCTGTAGTTTATGGTCCCTTTCTCACACGAAGATGTTTTTCAATTTATTTACCCCCAAGTATAGTAGAAAACATATAACCTAAAAGCGTGTAGTAAGTGTAGGGCTTTTTATTAAAGAAAGAATTATTCAAAAATATGCTGTGATTGTTGACATCCTAAGACACGAAGTAGTGTGTTTACTCCTTATAATATTGATATATATGAGAATTAGTATACATAAAGTCATTTGAGAAATATATCTCAAATTTGCACATACCAGTAACAAATCCCATAGTTCCCTGCGTGTTTCCACATCCAGTCCGGAGGTAGGCTCATCCAGCACCAGCACCCTCGCGCCGCCAGCCAGCGCGCAGCCCAGCTGCAGGCGGCGCCGCATGCCGCCCGACAGCTGCGAGCTTTTACTGCCAGCTTTAGAGTTCAATCCGAGCTTTTCAAGCAGCAACGTCGATTCCACCTTCGCTTCATGGTATGAGAAACCTTTCAGCTGGAAACGTATTTCAGGTTAATTCTGTACATCGATTGAATTTAGCTGAAATATAAGTGAAGTATGCGGAAGGGTAATTTTTTTCGCACGTTTGTTTATTTTGTATGTATGTATAATCCATTGTGACAGTTTTTAGAGCCAAAACTGTTAAAATCTTACTAACTTTGTAAATGCGAAAGTTTAGATGGATGGATGTTTGTTAGAGTTTGTAGCCTAAACTGCTGAACGGATCTTGATAAAATTTGGTGTAGATGTAGAGGATAGTCTGTAATAACACATAGGCTACTTATTTTTTTTAATGCCACACAAATCCGCGGGCGAAAGCTAGTATTTTATATAAATTTGCTTTCTAAATAAGTTAAGAACCCGTGATTTTACAACATAAATTACAATTATTTCCTGTAATCATACCATAGTAAAGAACATGACATGTTCTAGGACGGTGAGGTCCGGGAAGAAGAGGTTATGTTGAGGGCAGAGGCCGAGCGTCTTCCGCACCGCCTCCTGCTGCGTCGCCGTGTCCAGCCCCTCCACGTACACCTTGCCTGATGATGCACTTATCATACCTGGAATAAAATACATCATCATCACCAGCAATACGCCAACACTAAGGGGCTCGGAGCCAACCCTAAGATAGGATGACCAGGTCTTAGGCAATCATGCCGACCCACAGCGGGTTGGTACTAATACAGATCTTTAGTCTGGATTATGCCCGCGACTTTATATGTGCGGAATTAACAAAAAAAATAGTAAAACTGTGTACTTCCAGTATATATTTAAATTGTTTTGTATAATTTTCAACAAAAAAAAATAAGACTATATTCTACATCGGTGACAAACTTCATAGAGATGAGTTATGCTGTTTTGTAATAACAAACATCAATCCATCCAAACTTTACTATTTATAGTGAGAAAGTATGATGTAATAAAAAAATATAATCCGTTCGCTTATCGATCGATCGAATATTAATTTCGAACAAAAAAGCTGAATCTAATTTAAATATCAAATACGTCAACTGACCGGTGATAATATTCATGAGGGTGGTCTTTCCGGCGCCGTTGTGTCCCAGCAGTACTGTGATCTCGCCCTGGTATATATCCAGCGATACATTAGACAGGACCACGTTCTTACCAAACACCTGAAAAACATAAAAAAATAGATAAAATATACATAAAAGCCATAGAACTTGGGTACCGAGTTGGCTCGTCGCGCTATAAATAACTCTTACTCACGACGTGCCAAGTTATATTCGAGGTACTATAAATTTTATTTTTAGTAAGACATAAAAATATTAGCAGAATAAAATAAAACTTAGTTAGTAGCCTATGTGTGGTACACTATTCTCTACATCTATGCCAAATTTCATAGAGTTCCCTTCAGCAGTTTAGGCTTTAAACTATAGTAAACATCCATCCATCCATAATCCTTTGCAGTTATAAAATCAGTAAAATTAAAACTATTCAAGTAAAATACAGTTATCATGTTTATATTCTGAAGTACTTACTTTTGTGACATTTTCAATTCTGATGCCAGGCTCGAGGTCTTTGGGCGGCCGCTCGAAGTACAGCGGGTCAGAGAGCCGTGCACCGGACAGTTCCTCCACCTCCACCTCCACCTCCGAATTACCTTCAACCTCTACACCAGGAGACACCTTGCGCTCGTTCCAGAATGAACGCTGTGCATAAAATAGTTATAAACCATACAATAGTAGACAGCAGTTGTACAGTATTCAAAATTGTTAAAATCACTATAAAATTATCGCTATCTTACTAATTATAATATAAAACATAGCCTATATCTCTCAGGAATAATTAAGCATCCAAACAGTGAAATAATTTATAACATCCGTCCAATAGTTTTTGAGTTTATTCGTTACAAACATACTAGTGGTAGAGCCCGCTTTAACATCTTCCACGAATGGGCCGGCTCGCCCGTTGTAATACCACGACCACACAGAAAACAGGCGTGAAGTGGCCTAATTTTAGTCCATTTCCACCCTTTTCTTAAGTGGAAAGGATGGGAAGGAAAAGTGGAATTGACGGTGGAGGAGACGCATAGGAAGAGGAAATGTTTATGTGCGTCTCCTCCGTCAATGAAGGGTAACAACGCAGTTGCGGATGTTTATGGGCAGCGGTCGCTTTCCATTTCGGTGGATTCAGGTGGCCGCTTGCTCTCTTGTCCTCTTATATCATAAAAATAAATACAAAAACTTTTCCTTTTTATAATGCGGATACTATAGGTACCTTAAACATGAAGTTCCAGGGCATCGCCTGTCCGTATGGTCCAGGGTTGACGAGTGCGAGGTACCAGGTCAGTACGGCGAACAGTGCGCTCTGCAGCACGAGGAACAGC